CAGAATAGAGAGCACATAGGACGTGCGAGACGGGATACGCACTGTAGCGCAAATGACAGCTGCAGCGGCATCAGGAACGACAAGGCCCTATCCCTTGTCAGGAAAGCGCATATTCAACTTTCCTGGACAGCTGTACCCTATCCATGGGAGGAGCTATTTACCTGAGTTATTCGGGCTGTATTTAAAGGATAAAGGATAAAGCATTTGCCGTTGATCAATCCCTTTTTGGGATGCGGCACGCATTCTACTTCCATTTGTACATTCGTAGTGGCGTTTGAATGCGATGTGGCCTATACAATGACTTGCGGGGGCCAGCCGATGTACAAGTCAGTGTTTTTTATCCTCCCAGACAAGTCTGGTACCAATTAACCGACCCCGGAGGGATGGAAGGCTTGGTTGGCCCGGGCGACTCACGACCCAGGATTTGATCCCCGGACCGCTCGCGTGGTAAGCGTGCCACTTGCCACTACACCACTTCCGCCCCATGTAAGTAGCATCAGTAAAATAAAAATTAATCAATTAGACATCAGACTGAGGTGCTCGCGCGGCAGGTATCAGGCTCATGTTAAGGCGTCAGCAAGTACGTATTTTTCAGGCATGGCAGGTCACTTCATGGACACCGAATTTCCATTTGGGACGGCCAATGTTCGGCATGAAAATCCATCACAAACTTGAACATGACACGGTACGTCGCAAGCTCCAATGAAATTTAATAGGATCGACATCGCAGAACAGATTTTTTCAGATGATGGCTGGACAAGATGGTTTTGGCGCCAGTGAAGGCTATTTTATCCAAAAGCTAGACCATTTTGACAACACGTCTACGGCTACTTGGAGCCAGGTGAGAATCCAGATTTCCATAGCTGCTTAATGATTCAGCTCCGAGTTATCCACAGCCACTTACCCTCGTTCAGTGTCCCTATGTCCTATTTGTTGTCGCTTCGATACCCCTAAGGCGACAGCGTTGTTGTTACCACCCAGACCATGTCCATGCTCAGTAATTTCTAAAAGAGTCAGAGAATAGTGACAGAGTTGATTTAGATATTCATAAGGAACTAGGAGAATGGAATATTTGAAGAATAAGAAGAGTTCACGAAAACGATAATATGAGTGTTGATGAAAGGCACGTTTCACGAGTGATTACGTATGAGGTTAGTGCACCAAAATGAGTCTCGCTGTTGTAGCTGGTCCAGCGCTAATAAAGCAAGCATAAGAAAACTGTTAAGAATCCTTGGAATCACACAACAGTTCGGTAGTTGTACGGGCGGGGTTTGCGCCTCGCCCCTACGAGGATCTCTCTGGGCAGTCAATCCATTAATATGGTAAAATACGATGAAATACTGAGATGTAAAGATTGAGACAATGAGATCTCCGTAGAGGCTGTGTGTAAGCTCCGTAAACACGATTAGAAATCAAGACAGAGATGGTCAGTTGCACGAAAGAGATAAAACCAAGAAGAACCGCCCAGAACCCGGGAAATAGGACCCCTTCCTTGCCCGTTGATTTCTGTATTGATGCGACTCTCATGTGCTGCCCTCTTCAACGCTAGAGCTCTTTCTACTGAACGGCTAGAGGTTCACACAACAAGAGGGGGCGAACTGCACCGCTAGCGCCTCGGGAAAGGCCATGCTATGTAGATCGTCGTGGGCATATGTCTCGATGCGGACCTCCAAGGGTGTCTACAAACTCAGGGGTCCGCCTAGCTCTCCTCTAGGTAAGTTCCCCTTGTTCGAGATTTCGGTCATTCTTGTTCCTCCTTCCTGCACCTCCTTCAATCGTTTTCCATCTCACACCACTACTCTGCAATCTCGCAGCTGCTATTACTATAATGCCTAAATTAATTCGTGCAGTTCGTGAAATACCAAAAGTATCTGATTTAGCGCTACTTCTCCAACTTTCGATATCAAAGGTCA